ATATAGGCCTATACTTGTATATATAGGCTACATAATACTAAAATAACACTGCCATGCTTTTGATCATTGAGTTTTGATAGTGATTACTGGAATTTTCATGGCCCCTGCCCCAGCCGTCTTCTGAAGAGGTCACAGGAGTGTACAGGTTAAAGACGGGCTTCTGATCTTTCTGCTGACTGACAGCAGCTGTGGATGGGCCAGTCCCAAATAGGAAGCTCTGTCCACTTGAAGTGGTGACACCGCAAATGTTAATGGGTGTGCTGTGGAGAGCTGTCTGACAGTAGTTAGTCCCACCATTGTTCTCCTGTTTGATGACCCCCGGAGTACACAGCTGGATTATAGAGTCCTTCTCCACCTTCACGGTAGGAAAGCTGATGGTGGTGGTGACCGTGTTGATGCTGGAGGGGCTGGAAGTGGTAGTCGCGCCGTTGCTCATCGAGACGGCCCTCTCCGTATGTGTCGGCAAGTCTCCGAGCAGAGTATCGTCACCTATGGTGGAGAGGAATGCGTCGTCCGCCACGTAGAAATCAGAGGGCGATCCGTCCAACTCGAAGTCCTGCAGGAGGTCCAGAGTGTTGTCACTAAAGAGCTTATGATTGCCAACATCGACATCTTTCCCAATGGGCCCAAAGGAATCTTGGTCAAGGTCCATATCGCCTTTATCCATGGGAGAAAACTCCTCTGTTTTTAAAGGAAAGAGATTGGGGTCGATTCCACCAATCAGAGAGTCCATTGAAGGAGAGACGCTATTGAGGTCTGCGATACTGGCCTCCAGACCTGAGAAGCTGTCTCCCAACGTGAAAGCGCCCAGGGTCTGGTGTTGCTGGGCCCTCTGCTCCTTCCCAAACACTTTGAGCTCTGAATCTTCCCCAAAGATGCCATAGGTGGAGGACACAGAAGTGGTGTGCTCCTCCAGAGTGGGCGAGTTGCTCAGGCCATTGGGAAGGTCCCCGGAAACCGGCTGCATCAGCGGATTGGGTTGAGGAACCAGCGAGGTGGGGGCAACAGACATGGCGCTTTGTATTCCGCTTCGTAAAATTCCCTCAACTGGGCTGTTGCTGTAATCCAACGTATTCAAATTATCATCTCTCTTGGCGCCGTTCTTCAGTCCTCCTTGATCCATCTTGCATTTCTGTGGTAAAACAGAACAAAACAATTATAGTTTCTGAAACACCATAAATAACATCCCCGAGAAACCTAGTTAAAGTTAGTAAAGTTTGAACAAAATTGCACCAAAATATAATTTATATATATATATATAAAATTCACTTATTTAATTTGTTGTGGGTTTTTTTCTGTGTACTGGGACGTTTAGCAAGATAAATTCCTTGTGTGCATAATCATATTTGGTAATAATTCTAATTCTAAAATAGCATAGTTACTACATTTGTTTAAAAAAAAATGGTAACACTTCACAATAAGGTGTCATTTGTTAACACTAGTAAATGTATTAACTAACATGAACTAACAATGAACAATACATTTGTTACAGTATTTATTAATCTTTGTTAATGTTAATGAAAATACATTTATTCATAATTAGTTCATGTTAATCCACAGTGCATTAATGTTAACAAGCACACCTTTTGATTTTAAGAATGTATTAGTAAATGTTGAAATTAACATTAACTAAGATCAATAAATGCGGTTGAAGTATTGTTCAATACAATTAATTACTGTTAACTAATGATCCTTATTGTAAAGTTTTACCAAAAACAAAAAAACTGGTAAATAAGTATTAGCCACAACAAGTTATAAAAAAAGAAATGAAACAAACTAACAAAAAGGATTCTTAAGCTTCTTATAATAATTAATGGAGATACAATATTAATTGATTTTACTGTTACTATAGTATTTTGTAAGATTTATGATGTTTACGTTTATCTCATGACTTTAGAAGTGTTATCTAAATTTAAATGTATTAAAATAACAAAAGACCGTTAGCTAATTATTTGTCACACACTTGACTAACATGCGCACTCTTGACTCAAGTTGAAATGGCATAAAAATAGCATAATCTTTAACGCTACAAACATTATTTTGTCCAAACGCTGCAGCTAAATCCATGAGGATTTACTGCCTCTTATGTCCCTCGACTAATATTAAAATAAACGGATAAAAATCCCAAATCTGTCGGATCCAGCACACGCACTGAGGCCTAGTGGCTACTGCTAATCCACTGCAAACAGACGAGATAATCATTTCACATTTAGAATATAAACCCTTAAATACCTACAAAACAACGCAGCACAAATGATTCAACGACAAGTCGTGAAAAACAACTCACGAGTTGAAGAACACGACGAAACTAGCTGATTGTAACGTTACTTTTACGCTATCAACGCCGATATTTGTACTCAAGGGCGCAGTTAACACGAAAAAAAATCGGTTTGAAGGTCGAAATAACGTACGTACCTGTTGATATCGACGTTCCCGTTTTGATTTGTTGCATCATCTGACATTGTGTTGTTTCGACGTTGCCGCTGTTAGCGATTAGCATTAGCAACAACAACAACGCGCAAGCCTCCGCCGCGGTCCGAGGTCGTTTCACGCGAGCGAAACGTAGAAAGAAAAGATCGCAGCTCGGATATCGTCCGGCGTTTTAATCTGGATTCATAACACCGTTTGGGTAATCCAGGCAATTTACTCGTTTTCGGCCATGAGGAAGGAGGCGTGCCATAAAACCCTAAATCATAAAAACATTCAAAATGGAGATTACAGTAAAGAAATCCCTGTTTACAACGTGCAGTGCGACCTATTGGCTGCACCGAGTTATTACAGCTAGCCTCTGATTACAGTGACTTCACTGATGTGAGAATTTTTTTTTGATGATTTATTATCATCAATATTATTTATTATCAATTATGTATTACCAATAAATGAGCCTGCAACATATTAAACTGAAACCACTCTTTTATCTGAAAAGCAAAAACAGAAGCTATTTTACAAAAATCAGCAAACTGCAACAAAAACTGGGAACAAAACTCATCTCCTGTGTGCGGAGTAGTTGCTGGGTTTGTCCATATTTTACCCAGCACTGAGTTGTACTTAAC